AAGGTCCTTGTCCCTGAAGTAATCCGATAGGATTCGCCGGAGGTGGACGGGCACCCCGTGATACTCGAAAGCCCGTCCCACCTCTGGTCAGAGCAGGGTGTTGAAGGCGTTCGAGATGTCAAGCGACACCGCCATCCTCTTCCACGGCGTGACGGGCCAGCTCCCTAACGCATTGGATCAGGATGGACCGGCCCGTCGGGGACTGAAACCGTACTGGTCGCCGTGGAGGACCGGACCCTCCAAGAACAATTGTTGGACGAGGCGGTCGGCAATGATGCGCTCGAGCATCTTGCCCGCCTCGTCCAGCAGGCATATCGTCCCGTAGGCCGAAGGGTCTCCGGGTGCTTTGTCTTCCTTCGGGAGGACGACGAGAGTCGTCTTCCTCCACTCTGGGGAAAACACGCCTTCTCTGAGGCACTTGGTGAACAAATATCTCAGGAACTCGAATAGGTTATCATCCGTGAGAGCCAGCGCCCAGGCGCACTCAAAAATATTATCAGAGCCAGGGGCTTTCCCCTTGGCTCCGAGCCTCTTCCTGGTCCTGGCGAACTCGCCCGGATCAACCTCCAAGTCCTCCGTCTAATGTCCGTCCCCTAGCTCGGGAACGGGGATGTGGGGGCGCCCGTCTCCCGTGCTCGAGAAGAGCACGTCGAGCACCTCTCCAGAACCTGGGGTTCGAGGAACTCCGTCGGCGGGGACACCCACGGACGGATCTTTCCAACCGTCCATTTGTATGGGCGCCTCCACGGGTCCTCGTCCAGCGAGTCCACCAGTCTCGTCCAGGCGCTTATCTTCGCCTCACGGATGGCGGCTTTGAAGGCTTCCCGTGTTTCACAGTAGCCCTTTTTCGCCCTCATGATCTCCCCGCCGTTTCCGGTGTGCCGGGCCCGCGTGTATACGCGTCTCGCGTGGACGGAGGCTCGCCGCAGAGTGGCGAGGTACTTTGTCCACCAATATGCAGCCCGGCGCCGACGGGGGTGGGACCTGGGTATCACAACGTCGCAGGCCGACATCACGATGGCCACCAACTCCTCCGCCTCCTCCTGGGGGCTGGGGTTCCACTCGCCATCCGGCTGACTCAAGTGCCAGGTGGCACGAGGACAGCCGTCTTGAACCTGTCCGGGTCCATTTGCCCATCTCCCTTTGGTGCGTAGCTGTCGCCCCCCACTCGGGCAGCGGCCCAGCGATGGGGTGGGGAGGCGGAGGGACCAGACCACATAGATGGAGACCTTGTCGGACCATGTGATCTCCATCTCCGTCTCCATCACCCAGCTGCTGAAAAGTCTTGCGGCCGCAGGAGAGGCCCAGATCAAGTCAATGACCGACTCCCCCCGCGACCGTACGCAGGTGCTGGTATCTCCCCTATTCATAAGGTGAAGATCTAACGCCGCTCCCCACTCCAACACGGCCTCTCCCAAACAACTAATGCACATTATTCAGCGTTATTTACAATATATTTTATTTATAATCTAAACAATAATATGTTCCTGAATAACATTGTTAAGGTTACGTAAAGATTATTTGAAAATTTTTTAATTTTAAATCTTTAAGTGATCTTGATAATGCTATTCAAGGTCATACTACTTTTATGGTCTAATACATCACTTAAATTCCTATAACATTTATATAAAATATTTTTTTCGAAAATATATATCTTTTTTCCAAAATATAAAGAACTAAAAGAATATTAAGAACTAAAAACTTAAATATTAAGAAATAAAAAGAGATATTAATATTTTCTATACATTCGCATAAAGCATTATATTTAGTACAAACAATACAAAAACAGTTTATACACATTACATATTCTACTTATGCTCTTCTTTCATTTCCTAGTTAGTTGACCTTATTTTTCGATACACTCTATATGTGGTTGAATTCGACATAAAATAATATTTCATATAGTCATATTTCATATTCGCCATATTAGTTCATAATTTAAACTTCCTCAAATAAATTTTTTAAGTAATGGGAATATGTTGAAAACTATTATATTGCTGAACAGTTTTTAAATATTGTTATAAAATAATTTTAAAAATTAAAAAATTTGTATTTAAAATCCTTTTTTTCTATGTATCTTTTATTGTTTGTGGTTGCTATGCATACAGAAAAAAAATATTTATTTTAAAGGAGTATTTCATTCTTTAAATCTGTATGTAAAAAGAATATACAGGGTGTCCCATAATTCAATACGAGGAATTCGTGGACACATATAGTTATCGAATTATTAATGACAGAAATCTGATGAGTGAGCGCTCGCCGAGATGGATAATTGGAGTAGCATCGTAGCCGTTTGGGTCACAGTGCGGCCCAGTCGATTCAGCAAATGCTGACACGCGACGAGGGGAAGGATAACATGTCGCTATTTATATTTTATCTCGCTGCTCTTACGTTTCGCCGCACGCTGCCAATAATTACTGAATCGACTGGGCCGCGTTGTGGCGGCCTACGCTTCTCCAACCGTTCATCTCGACGTGCGCTTAATTGTCAGATTTCTGTGATTAATAACTCAATAATTATTATATACAATACTATTATATACAATAACAATTATAATATCGCAAAACGGTATGGGATTTTTATATTTGTTTTAATCCGCTCTATGTCTCCACGAATTTCTCGTGCTAAATTATAGGACATCCTATATGTTCTCATTTTAGTCTAGATCCCAACATACTACAAGATTGTTAAAATCAATAGAGGGATTATTGTGAATTTTCTTGTTAATATATTACTCGATAATTTACTAAGATACAAATAAGATAATCATCATGAAAATGCTTTAAATTCACTTATTATTAACTTTTATAAGAATTATTAATAAATATATTTTTTAATTATTTTTGACAATTTCTAAATCTTATTTTAGCATATCTTATATTTATTTTACATTTTCTGTTTGGAAGATATTGATGTGTGCAAAAAAGTTACATATTTTACCTACTACTATAAATAAATTTAGGAGATACTTATGTTACGTCCTGGAGGAGGAACGCTACTTGACGCTTGCTTTCACAAGCTCCGACGTACTCGCAAGTCTGCGGTGCAGATCAAGGATCAGAATGACCCCTTTATCTGGCGTGGATGACGTCGGTGGTCCTTTATTTAGATCAAGGAACTGAGTCCTTTTACCTGGGATAGGACCGTGAGCGACAGTTGAGGGAAGGGATAATTTTTTGTTGAGAATAATTAGTTGGAAAACGTGATTGGCTTACAATTACAAATAACTTGTTTTATTGATGATTAGATGAAAGTTCATAATGAAATAAAATTTGTAAATAAAATTTGTGATTTTATAATGTGTACGTATACATATATGTATAACAATCGCGGTTTGAGCAAAATTCCGTGTTCGTTATGTCCGATTGAAGTCGACAAGATTGGGCCACTCACACCGGATTTCACAATTAAGGAGGAATGCCAAGGGGGATAGAAAAAAGGAAGAAAAAGGAAAGAAAAAGAAAAGAGAGAGAAGAAAAGAAGAAAAATAAAAAGAAAGGGGTCACTCAGGCAAAAGAAAGTATAAATAATTTACTGCTGGTTCTATGCTATTTGTCGAAAATGAAGAGTGTAATTGCTGCGTGTCGGTAAGGGCGGATGACCCAAATTCTGCGCCAAGAATAGAAGGCTGGTTTCAGCTGGATTGCTCACAATGGTCCAAAAATGTGCACGAGGTCGTTGCACAGAATAATTAACAACTGGAGAAACACTGATCTATCTAAGTCACTAGTAGGCTAGATTGTTAGGAGATCCTGAAGGGGTGCTGAAGAGAAGCTTCTGTTCTGGCTGCGGGTCGGTCGAGAAGTCTCTTGGCCTTTTGGCTTTTCTCAAAACGTCAGCTCGGTTGAGAAAGTGGAGTTTTAGGGAAATGTTTTGGAAATCTAATTTTTATGCCCAAATATGGTCATAGGACTATGCTTCAAATGTTTTTTAGAGGTGGGGGTCAAGAGTTGCGTTGCAGTATCTCTAAGATAATTATTGTAAAAGATGGGGTATCTATGGCGATAAGGGATTTCATCATTTCGTTAGGTTTAGTGAGAATTATTGGGTAACATACCTTATGAAGGGACGTGGAAAAGCTGTGAGTTCTTGAGGATTAACAAAATCAGATATCGACTGGTCAGTCCGGGAAGTGATTCAACGGATCTTTCTGACAAACAACTAGAGGACTTTGGTCTAGGGGGAGTTAAAAAAAGAGAAATCGGTATGTGGCGTCATCGTGCTTGAAGGTTTGCGGAACATGTTCGTTGAATATAACATTTGAACTATAGCGAGCAACATAAAATCAAATCGCTCTATTTATAAAAGAATCTAGAAAACGCGGAGTCCGCAGGACGTAACACTTATAATTTTACTTTTAGTTACTGTAATTCGCACTAATATTCAGATACAAAATGTATGGAATATTTATATCAAGTTTTATAATATTCAGATATTAACCCCTTAGCTGTTAGATGATAAAATGTTTATGTGTCCTCAGTAATCTTCACAATAGAATAAATTAATTATAAACAAAATATTTTCTATAGGTTTATTGGGTCGTTAAATTGAATTTAAGGTCAAAATTTCAAAATTCAAAATGGAGAATTTAATATAGCGAACCAAATATCCAAAGACTTACGCGAGTAAACATTTTTATTAAGAGTTCCTTAAGGGTTTTATTTTAAATTCGTGAATTTTTATTTTAAATTTGGAATGTGCGGCTTTAAAAATCTTTAAATTCTAACTTTTATGTAAATCGTACGATTTCTCAAATTTTAGATCAGCTATTTTGAATTTTTACTTAAAATTTGAATTCAGTGGCTACAAAAACATAAAAGTATAGTATCTTATTCCATTTACTTCGTTGTAAGTATTTTTTTGGAATGTGCAGATATTTCGAACATTGACGATTTAGTACTTTTTTTTTACAGTTATTTCCATTATTAACAGTTAAGGGATTAATGCACGTTACTGTGGACTTAATAAAATCTTTATATTCTTTTCTTTCTCTTTTGTAGGTCGTAATCTCAGTTGGTGTGAGTATATAACCGTATTTGCTTTGCATGATAATACTCTATTGCACAATCATGTTTTATTGCATTACTAATAATACACGAACTCTCTAGTAATAATCTAACTCTAGTAATCTAACTCTAGTAATAATCTAAGAACGAAATTCTTGACGGTAAAATTTTAGACGGAATTTTATTAGCAGACGACATTAACATATTTCGTTTTAGAAAAGTCATTGTTTTCTTTAGAAAAATCATTGTTTTCTTTAGAAAAATGTTGCATGATTTATTTTTATAATAGTTCGCTTGTAATTATTGTATATATTATCATTTTTATTGTAGATACAAAACAAATAAATAATAAATTAAGGGTATCTTATTAAATATTAAAGTTTCAATATTTGTTCTAGTCTGATATTATCTGGATATTATCTGATTATTCGGATAGGGAATAAATATGATGCTTCAAACATTCGAATTTTCTGAGATACAGTTAAAAAGCATCGAATCCAAATCTAGAATTAAATCTAAATTCTGAATCTAAATTCGTAGCAGAATCAGTCAAGCAAACACCTTTCCACTTAACCTTTGAAAAATGATTTTTTGTAATATGCTTTAGTTATATATGGTTAGATTTAGCATAAAATAATATTTCATATAGTTATTTAACAGATCATATAAGATTTTAATATCCTCGGAAAAAATTTTTATTAGGTGTACAAATGAATAATCCAAATAATTTTAAGCAATTATGAAATCAATTTTAAATTGAATTTTTCCGCTATTTTGTGATTATGCAATGTTGACATATAGCTATTAAAAAGAACATATATTAGGTGCGCAACTAAGTTCTCGCTGTTTTTTTGATGAAAATGCAACTTTATTGTGAAAAAATGGTTACAAATGAATCATTCAAAATATTGCCCATCGCTAGCGACAACTTTTTCTCATCTTTCTGGCAGAGCTCGAATACCGTCACGGTAGAAGTGTTCGTCTTTTGAGGCTATCCACGAATCAAGCCATTTGAGATGTCTTCATATGAGCGGAACTGCTGATTAGCCAGACCATGTGCCATCGAACGGAACAAGTAATAATCGGACGACGCAATATCTGGGGAATATGGCGGGTGGGGTAGGACTTCCCATTTGAGCGTTTCTAAGTAGGTTTTAACGGGTTTGGCAACGTGAGGCCGAGCGTTGTCATGCTGTAGAATCACTTTTTCGTGCCTCTGCTCGTATTGTGGCCGCTTTTCGCGCAGTGCTCGGCTCAATCGCATCAATTGAGTTCGATACCGTTCCCCAGTGATGGTTTCGTTCGGTTTCAACAGCTCATAATAAATAACACCGCCCTGGTCCCACCAAATACACAGCAAAACCTTCGCAGCGTGAATATTCGGCCGAGCCGACGTAGAAGCATGACCGGGCAGTCCCCATGATTTTGTTCTTTTTGGGTTGCTGTAATGAATCCATTTCTCATCACCCGTAACGATGCGATGAAGAAACCCTTCCTTTTTTGCCGCTGGAGCAGTTGTTCACAGGCGAAAAAACGACGCTCAACGTCTCTTGGCTTCAAATTATAAGGAACCCAAGTTCCTTGTTTTTGAATCATTCCCAACGCATGCAATCGCTTGGAAATGGCTTGGCGGGTAACTCCTAATGCTGAAGCAAGCTCTTTTTGCGTTTGGCACGGATCCTCATCGAGCAATGCCTCCAATTCAGCGTCTTCGAAGGTTTTTGGCCTTCCTTCACGCGAACGATCGTCAACATCGAAATCACCGTCTTTGAAACGACGGAACCAATCACGGCATGTTGTTTCACTTAGAGCAGCATCTCCGTAAACTTTTTGGAGTTCTCGATGCGCTTCAGCCGCCGTTTTCTTCGAATGAAAGAAGAAAAGCAACACTTCCCGCAAATGACGATTATTTGGCACAAAATAAGACATTTTCAAACAACCAAAAGTATATGACGCAAAAACAAAATCACTAATGTGTCAAAGCGGTTTGTTTACCATATGTCTAAGCTTGGTTCATGACGTTTTGGTTATGTCACAATCGACCAGCACTTACTACTGGAGCCATCTCTTGAAAAACAGCGGGAACTTAGTTGCGCACCTAATAGTTTGGCGAAAGGCCCAACATAACATTCAAAAGTATTCAGTTCAGTACAGTCGAAAATGGCAACAGATAAGGTGCATATCCGACATTGCATTCTTTACGAATTCCAACAAGGAAAAAATGCTACAAGAGCGTGCGAATCGATTTGTTCCTTTCTCGGCGAAGATGTATCGTACGATGTGTGCGCATTTTGGTTTAAGCGATTTAAAAGCGGTAATTTCAGTCTAATCGACAAATAACGCCCTGAAGGCCCTCTGAAGTGCGATAATGATGATTTGGAACAACTGCTCGCTGAGAATTCGGTACAAACACAAAAAAGCTTGCAAAACAGTTGGGAGTAACGCAGCAAACGATTTCCTACATGAGATGGGAAAGATCCAGAAAGAAGGGAAATGGGTTCCGCATGAACTCACTGAAACCGACAAAAATCAACGAGTGGCAGCGTGTCTTTCTCTTCTCAATAAGCAGCGTCAAATGTCTTTCTTGTGGAAAATCATTACGGGCGATGAGAAATGGATACTCTATGACAATCCGAAACGCAGAAAGTCATGGGTAAATTCCGGCGAATCATCAAAATCGGTCGCAAAACCCAATCGCTTCGGAAAGAAGGTTCTTCTCTGCATTTAGTGGGATATCAAGGGCGTGCTTTATTATGAGTTGTTGGAACCGGGTGAAACAGTTACTGCGGACTGCTATCAACGTCAATTAATCTGCTTGAGTCAAGAATTGGAACGAAAACGCCCGTATACCAGCAAAAGAGAACATCCAGTGAAATTGTTGCATGACAACGCCAGGCCACACATTGCTTCCAATAAAAAAGACACTATAATGAGTCTTGGCTGGGACGTCTTACAGCACCCGGCGTATTCACCAGACATTGCTCCATCCGATTACCACTTGTTCCGGTCGATGCAACATGCCTTGTCCGATATGCACTTCCAATCAGTGGATGAGATCCGAAAATGGCTTGACGACTTTATCGTGTCCAAAGACGTAACATTTTTTCGAAATGGAATTCATCAGCTGCTTGAAAGATGGCTTAAAGTTATAGAAAGTTATAGAAGTTATTTTGAACAATTTAATTTGCTTTTTTTAAAATAAACCTTGAATGTAGCTGAAAAAATTGGATTATTCATTTGTATACCTAATAAGTAGTGAGGGTATATTGGAAATTGTAATGTGTTTGAAAAGTTTTTAAACATCATTAAAAAAATATGCTTAAAAAAAATCATTCGTTCGTAGCAATCTAACTTTCTCTCGAAAATTTCACAATCAATTACTCAATATTTTGTAATTGCAATTTAAAGGCTTGAGATGATTATATTTATTTGTATATTTAAATAATAATATTTGTATATTTAAATAATATATCGATTAATAATTTCGATTAATTCGATTATTTCGATTAATAATAAAAATTTTGTTATTAAATTTCTATCCACTTTTTAATTTACTTGTTTCTGTTTAATTCAAATCCAAATTTGATTCTAAATTTGCATCTCTTATTACAACCAAAACTTGAATCCGAATAATTCAATTTACCCGGATTATCCAGATAGTGTAATCTTGAATTGTTATCAGAACTAATCTCGAATATTCAGATAGTTAGATATTTACATCTAAGAATACTAGAGAGAGCTTTATTAAATATATTCTGTGTATATTACAATACAATGAAAATCAGATATTGGAACTCTTACAAGGGGAGGACGCATCGATCGGGAAACGGTTTGGAACGAAACTTATGGAGTTAATAGTACTTGACTATTAATAACTCATGGTAATAGCATACGCCGCAATACCTCTTCGTTTTCGAGAAAAAACGGTCTAAACAAAAGAGTCAACAAAGTGTACGAGTTAGTAAGAAAGGTATTCAACGAAGCGGCGTAGCGCAGCAGCGAAGGTAACGAACTACCGAGCTGACGGCTGAGGTTCGATCCCTGCTGTATGGTTTTTTTTATTCTATAAGCATAAAAATGAAACAGAAAACATTAATAAGTAATAAAACTGCGTTTCTTAAATATATTAATGTTTGTTAAATATACTATTAATAATTTAAATTGCAAAAAAACCGTAAATCTTATCTATAAAATATATAGTGTATGAGAAAATGTTTATATAATAATTGCAATGGAAATAGGAGTAAAAGTATATTATATTTTCGCTGAAGGATTTTTCGATAATAATTCATTATTCTCGTAAATAGAATTCGCATATACGAGAGCATTAGTGAATTCACCTTTAAAATCTTTATTTTCAAGAGATCTTTCTTCTAGCGATTCTACATCATCTATTTTGCTTGTTGAAGGATTCTCTGACATTATTATGATATATGTAATTTAAATATGATCACCGAATTGCTCTGTATCATTAGTAAACGCACACTGCTGCTTGCTCTACTGACGACTGTTCCGATGCTCGAATCATTTCGTCATTCTTAACGATCGTTTAGAATGACACAAAGGAAGTTTCTGGAAGGGGATTGCCAGAAGAGATAAAGACACAACACAACTTCAACACAACACGACTTCTACACAACATCGAAAGTTGTAACAGAAATAAATATTTTATATATACGATATAAGATTACGAAAAACTATCTCATACTAGTTTAACCCTTTGCGATCGGCCGATTTCGAAGAGATCGATAAATATTGATATCTGTAAATTGATCTAAACATTTGAATCTAGCATCGGGAGGATAGTTTTCTTTCATTATCGCTAGCCTCATTTGCCATGCCACATGCCAGGCGATCATGAATGCCAACCTGGCGGCATCGACTTCTACGACGACTTGCGAATGTCGCCACTGTGGCGGCATCGACTGCAAAGGGTTAATAGCATTCCTATACAGGGTGTTATAAAAATCCCGGAAGAGCAGAATAACTCGAAAAATATGAGTCCTAGAAAA